TTCGGCTTTGGAATGTGCTATGGAACCTCTCGTCGCATATCACAATTTCATCAAGAAAAGGGTCGTTTTTGCTGCACAGAATAACAGCAGACGATATATCAAAACAGCGACTTTTTTTAAATTATCGTTTAATTCTTGCGGTATCCAGTTGTAGAGTTTCTTGCCTTTCCTATGCGATTCAAATGAATGGAAATTGTTCATGTGCTTACACCAAGTTGTTCTGCGAGCTCTCAAACAATTCGCGTGTTTGCTTCCACTATTGCCTTCAATTCGTCGTCGTCAAGTTCACTGGGACGTCTGCGCACTTCCTTATCTTCGAGGTCGAAATCACCAGATCGGAATTTTCGGAATCATGTTCGTACTGTTGATTCACCAACACCACCTTTTCTCCAAACTTCATTAATGTTCTGAGCCGTCTGTGCTGCACAACGACCGAGTTTGAACTTGCAAAAGAAAATTTGACGAAAATTCGTTTTCGACATCTAAAATTGCAAAGCTCAAAATTGGAAAAAATTTAACTACATAAGGACGTGTTTTGAAAGAGCATAAAATCAGCTTTCTAATAATATAGATCACTGCAAGGTACAAAGAATATTTTGTTGGTAAAAAATACAGTAAAACAATAAGTATTGTAAAACGTTCATTTCTTTCCGAACAACCTAATAGCATGCCTATTCATCTGACACTTATAGTCAATACCTTTCCCCTTTAACCCTGGGTCAAAACAATATCACCCCAAATTTTCGTCCTCTATCTTTATATCTTTATAAACAATACCTCCGAGTCGCATGTTAACCGCATGCTGGGGACTGCTCGGCATGTTGTTCAACGGTGAACCATCAACGAAAGATTGCTTTTTCTCGGAGCGAAGCTGAAATAGAAAAAAGTAAGACTCAAAAGATCACTATACAGCACTCCAACACCTTCGGAGAAACCCTTCACAGAGTTCAAAAATGTTTCAGTAGTAAACTATCGCTGCATTCAGACGTTTCAGTAATTTCATGAACCTTTTCTTCACCTATTCACCTATTGAGCAGACAAAGTTGGTCTCGGTGATTTCTGAAAACCCTCTATCCTTATGCGAATCTAGTTGAAGCGCCATCGGTGTTGCTCATCTCAACATGACATTAAATGACACATTCATCGAATAAAACACACCCGCAGTGTTCCTGCTATTTCCACATTCTAAATCAATATTGAACATAGAATTGAATTACTATGGCCATATCAAAACAAATAAACAATGTTATAAAAAATATAGTGAAGCCATTGATGCCGATAAACACGTTCCTGGTGGAGAGGAGGAAAAGTCCGAATTAGTGTTTCCACAGCATGGTGATAGGAGAATGATCATAAAAGTGAAACATATCTATTCATATAAATCTTTCAAAAGGAAAAAAATTGTGAAAACTGTAAGCTGGTCACATTCACAAGAGATAACGCATTTTCAGTCCAGCAATAATAGTAGGGAAACATATAAGGCAAGGGGGAAAGAACATATAAGAAATCTCAGTCGTCAACCATATGCGACTGTGAGCGGCTGTTCTTCCTCGGTGGAAGACAGGTGGAAAAAAGAGGCTCTGAAGAAGGCGATTCTGCCGAGACGTCAGCTACGATTGTGTTGTATGTGTGGTATTGCATGGACGTATGATGTTTAACAATCTCGCGATTACTGCGAAAGAAAACGACGAATTTATAAAAGATTTGTTAATACAAAAAATGCTACCATCTTTTTGTTTGAGCTCAACCCCCAACTCATCATATTTCTTCAGTAGAGCTACCATAACAGATTCACCAAAGCGATAACTAAATGGGTAGCTAAGTCATAGATGATTTTGAACTTAGAAAAAGTATACGACCTCTTAGCTAGCTTTTCTGTCCACTATTTCATTCCTCCACTAGAAACATTCGATTTTTACAGCCATTAGAGAGTTAAAAGTGACCAGCCGACTGTCAGTGAGTGCGCGTAAATTTTTCGTGGCAAACTAGTTTTGCTACTTTCAAGTTGACAAAAGTGAAAAATTACAATGAATTCGAACTATGGAGCGAAAACCGAATAAGCTGCAAGTTTCGTTCCGAACGAAAAAAAGGACTGATCGTCACTTTTACTAGGAAATATTTTGCAAATTAGAGATATTATTTAGTTGAGAAGAAAATTCTGCTCTAAAGTGAACAATGTGTTGCAGTCATTAAAGAGGAAAATAAAAAAGGAGAAAAGGAAAAGAGGAAAAAAGGAAGAAAGGAAAGAAGAATTAATTTAAAAAAAACAGCTAACAACTCTCCAATGAGCGATTTTCTTTCAGTCCAAATCTCAAATAAATCCAGGCAAAAATTCGTTAAGAAGATGAAAAAAAAAAAGATGAAAGCATTCAATTCACATTGCACAAGTTCGAATCGATATACTATTTAATAATAGCTAAGAGACATGTGAAACGAAGGAGGCGCATAGTGTAGTGGTGAACGCGTTAGCACCCAGGAAGGGTAAGCGCGGTCGTTCCCCACCGCAGACACCTGCGGTCTGGAGCTTTGCAAATATTTCGCCATCGTTTTCGTTGTCTAATAATCAATGTCAGTAACCCAAAGTTTATCAATAACCAAGTGATTAGCTCCGAACTATTACTACATCGATTAAAATAAAAAATCACGTTCTCGCTGACTATGAAAAACAAACGAACCAACGGAAGTCTAGTTTTCCAGTGTTGACATGACTTTTCAACGCATATTCAATGATAAAGGAAAACACAACAACCGCACTTTCGGACTGCCCTTCTTAGTGGTCTCCCAAAAAATTTTGAATTTCAAAACAAACGATAAAATGAGGAGAAAAACTGCAACTGTTCTCGGGAAGAGATTAAAACCTCTTGCCAAATTTTGTAGCTGTAGAGCAGCGGTTAAATGTGTCCTGAAATAAACAAGTGGGCTTTGGTTCGTTTCCACGCCTCGATCTCTCAAAGATTCCTATCCCTCCGGGGTCGGCAAATTGGTAAGACACTTGCCTGGGAGGATAGCAGCACTGAGCTGATGCATCCGTAGGTCACTGCAATTCTATTTGCAGGTCAGATATATATCTAATCACCTCCACGAAGCATGAGAAGAATGCATTGTGCACCCCTCAAGGATTGCTCAACGGTGAGAGGTTTTTCCATTTTATCCTCTTAGCACATGTCTGCGTATTCACTAACAGTTGTGATAAATATGCTTAAGTCGTGCTAAGCCACTTCATTCAGCATTTCACTAGTTGATAAGAGCACATATGACATTATAATAGCTAAACGATATCAAGCCAAGAAATCATGAATTCGATGGGTAGAAGAATTTCAATGAAAATCACACTAAACGTCGCGATTTGCGTGAAACAAACAGAAAAAAAACCAATAGCGACAAAGCACGATGACTGATAGGAAAACTAACAATGCACTGGTCGGATCAGCAAATAACCACACGAATGGTGTGCCACATTGTAGCACTGTTAACCCTAATGATTCCTTTGAGGAGATGAACTAAATCGTAGAGCCGAACGTCAAATCTCAATAGCACTTCCTAGCCAGAAAGGAAAAGTAAACACGAAAGGAAGAAGACCATTATTTTTGTGAAAACTAAAGATACTGTGAAAGAAAGGACTCCTTATTTGAAAAATCTAGTGAAAAAAAAACACTTCAGGAACAGGAACTACAAGAAGAATGAGAACAACGACCAGCGTAAAAAAGTATACTCTGAGAAGTAACGCCATTTCTTGCCAACTAGTTCAACAGTATCCGAAACGCATAGTAACCTTTTCAAGGCACCTATACCTACCAACAGCCAATAAATGGAATCATTAGACACAGACATTACTCAATAACTTCAAAAAACACAACGATTTTAATGTGGCTGAATCATCACCAACTGCAAATCTCAGCCGAACAACCGGATGAAACTCTCTCATAAACAAACTTTTCTGTCTCGTCGAAGTGAAAACGAAACAGCAGTTGTTTGCGTTTCGATTATGAAGCAAGCACTTTCGACTTCGCACTGACTGACTGTGCACATGCAGGCTGAGGGTCTGCGTCAACCGTCAAAACAAATTCTCTACTTCTACCAAGAAGGCACTGACCGAGAAATTGGAACCGCCATCAGACTCAGCTGTGTGGCACAGCTGCCCAGCGCACCTCAAGAAGCAATGATGGTCACCATCGGTCAAATGAGAATGAGAAGACGGCAGAGGCTTCCAAAAGCGGTTGAATAAGGTTGAAAAAGAAAATTAACACAATGATCAAGCAGTAGTCACGATGCCAAGTCCTAATGGTTTAAATTCATCTAAGAGATCTTTCATGGAATGTAGCGACATATGATTCTCCTTCATAAATTGAGGAAACCTCCACGATGTGATGGAGCAAATCAGCGAACATTAAGAAAAAAAGTATTCTTTGAGTGCAACAATGTTGAGCGAGGAAACAACCGAAAAGCTCAACTTCCACCTAAACGCAAAACATGCGAACTCAATGGGACTGCAGTGATCTTTTGAGAAGGGTTAAAATCGAGGGCATTCATTTCAGCTGTATAAATTATCCTTACAATTTTTGCTCGTTGCGCACATTATTTGCACAGCGTGAATGTAATATGTCAGTCGTTTTTTCAAACATCATCAATAGCGCCAGTTTAAACATTTCGCCGAAACACACACACACACGCACGCCTTCCCCACACGAAATGACGGGAAGAATGAGAATGGTGGGTCACTAATTCCAACGAAACACTGCGTTCACAACAACTATTTCAGACGGACAAGAGCGTCATCATGTCAAGTTGAATATTTCACATAATGGAACACCTCTTCCGTCCTACACAATCATCCCATAGCAATTTTCCCCCTTAGAAATTCGTAGCGAATTTTCGGAGGTAATTCAAAAATCCAATAAATCCAATCTGAAAGCCGATATTTTGCTATTTTAACTTTGTAAACCTCTTGGGGGTATGAATGGATAATTTTCGATTCCACTGATTATTACTCTGATCTGTTGTCACGTTTCTGGATCGAACTGATCAAAGTGGCTTGCCTTATTCGGCGTATTCGTCAGAAACGATGCCGGATTCTGCGACAATGCAGCCGCTAGGGCACCCATGTTACCGCCAAGATTTCCACCAAACAACTGCAAATTCTGCACCGCTTGCATCTGCTCCAAAAGTGTACTCATATTTGAGGGCAGACTAAAAAAGTGCATAGATGTTTCGCAGAATATTTTTCCGCTCTCAATCACTCTCACCCTTGCTGTTGAAGTTGTGGTGGTAAAAGTCCGCTAAACCAATTCGGCAACCCGGATGAGTTGTCCGACTGTGACGTGGGCGTTGTCGCCTGAAAAAAGTGTTGCATTGCTCTCTAATCTATCTTTCATATCGCGTTTTTTTTATTTTTTTTCCTCTTCAGAACAGTTATTCTCATTTTAAAGTTTTCAGTGTTGCACTTAGAAGTATCGATCAGGAATTTAAATTCTATATTATATGTGAATGTCGCCATCAGTACCGTTGGAGAAGGTTCTGGTCCAGCATCCTGACTTCCACCAGTGATTGAAGCGGATCCGGATGATGGCACACTAGAAGGTGATGGGCTTCCGCCACCCATGCCCATTTGAGAAAGATAAAGGCTGCGTAGAGCGTTGTTTCCAGTGAGGGTAGACTGAAACTTTGAGTGTTTTGCTCTTAAGTATTTTTATGGCAAATTTCCTTATCCCTACAACAGTTTAGGGTCTAAAAGTGTTCGATGTACGTTCTCGGGTATTAGAATTTCAATAATAGCGTGAGTATATTCCACATTCAGGCCTTCCAAGCCCAGCACAAATTCAACATTTTCACAGGGAAACACAGCTAAGAGGAAACCGCACACTGACAAGCTAACCGTGACTACCTTCTTACAAAAAAAACCGGCAGAAAAGAAGTGCTATAAGAAAAGTTCAATGCTCTATGTGTCCCTTGAATTAGTGGAGCAGCTCTGATGCGCGACATGGACGAATGCAATTAAGTGGAGATTAGTTAACATGTAAGTGAGAAATCAGAGAACCGAAGGTAGGAAATTCGGATTTGAAAATTTTCAAATCACTCAAGTCCGGAGTGTTCAGGTCATCGCAGCACAGCCCTGAAAGAGTTCTACCCGAAAGTTCATTTTCCAACAACTTCTGGTCAGATCATTGTGCTTACACTACATGTTGATGAAAACTCGAAATTTCCGAAGAAGAATGACTGACCTGTTCGAGCCCTATCATGAACTGCTGGACGTCCATAGTCGGTGCAGCGTCAGCGGCACGTCCAAGCGCTGATAAATCTACACCAGCCTGCGACGAAAGCATATGATTTCGGTGTCCGTGTTTAGCAGCACGATGTGTGGCCAGATAGTACTTGTTGCAGAACTCCTTCTGAAATCGCTATGACGCTCACATTGACTTATGAAAGGGAGACGATCAGACATGATGCACATCGGCAAAACATTTGAAAATACTTGAGGCCAGATAATCACCTAGAATAACTAATGCGATGTTATTTATTACTACAACGACGACACGTTGCAATAGCGCGTTTGCCTAAAAATTTACGAAGAGATTTTCAAAGGGGTACGTATGCCAATCAAAGGTATTCTATAAAAAAAACAAAAAGAAACCTCTCTTCAAATGAAAATAAGTTAAAAACTAAGTGCATCACGGTAATCACAAATACAAGCAGTCGGCAAAGCCAGCGAACAAGCTTATGGATTTCAGAACATGGAATAGAGATAATATAAATAGCAGAATAAAAGTGTCCCTCACTCCTCTTCACGCACGATTATACTATACTTGATGAGCCTGCGGAAAACTCGTCCTCGCTTAGACTATGAAGAAACAAGAAAAAAAACGTAACCGCATCAGCGATGAAGTCATGGCGTTGGGCAATCTGTTACAATGAGCTAGCGAGAATGAGAGAACGAAGGCGACAAAGAAACCTCACTGCTCTTCTGCTTGAGAAATAACAAACATCAAAATGGATTTGAGTTTCGAATGGAACAGATGTCGTGTATGCCTGTCCAATTATCGTATAGAGCCATGCATCATCGAGTATGAGACGCTCAGCGCTAAACAGAAAACACAATGCGGTCCACAAATTAAAAAAAAACTAGCAGAAGTAACCATATACAAGCGTCTAGCAAGATTTCCTAACGTTGATATAGTGGAAGACAAAGTGCTGTCTTCCAAAGAAAAAAGTGTGACGAAGGTTTGTATAGCTGTGTTCGGCAAATATTCAACAATAAAATGAACATTTAAGCTACAAATCCCAAATTTATTCAACTAAAGTATGATACGTGGTATGCGAATAAGCTAAAAGCTCAGCACCTGAATGCTTCACCGGCTCTCGAACCTCCTGAGAGAGCCGACTTCTACCGCCTGGTGAGATTGGAAAATTGTTACTCGCCCGAAAGAGAAGAACAAAAGACTTGTACAAAAATCATTAACCCTGTCAAATTTGCTACTTTATAAACGAAACATTCATGCCTGATATTCATTTTAGACAAGTATAAAACAAAGAAAAACTACTATAGCGCATCACCCACAAAGCCATAAAGTCCAACCTCAGTGATGAGGATATCCGAATTTTTGAAGACAAGAAGAAAGCAAAAATTTTAGACTTTAACAAACAAACCAAATGAATTAGCGTTCAATCTATTTTGCACTTTGAGTTCCACGTTCTATCTCAAAACCAAATGCTACCTAAAAAAACCAAATCTCTGGCCAATTCAATAACCTTTGAAAGCAAAACCGATCTCGGAGATCGATAACTTAATAGTAATGTTTAAGTCCACAGAGGAGAACTTCGTAGCGGACATGGAAAAGAACAAAATTGTTAGGATAACTTTTGGATGGAAAGGTCTTTCGTGGTCGTTCTCAAACAGAAAATCTTCCTATCAAAATAATCCTTTGTTCTTGAAGACGCAAAACGTTCGCTAAAATTTTATATTAACCACTCTTCCTCTAGTCTCACTACTGTTTTGCAAACACCATCGCAGTGAAGTACGTAATGTATAACTAAGCCCACTTTATGGCCCATCCTATTGTACTAACAACCCAACCGAGCATAGCAGAGCAGACCACAAACCCAAGAAAATGACTGAACAATTCTTCGAGTTTTTTGTTTCACACCCGAATTACACGCATTTATCAACCTTTACAGACGATAAAGATTCTCAGTGAATGAGCAAGTCAGCTCAAAGAACTCTTTAAAATATAACTTTAAACAATAAGCTATAAATTTTCAACTTTCCAGAAAGAAACTAAATTTGAATATGTCGAAAGGACGGTATGGAGATATGAAAAAACTCGACAATAACCTAACTGGAAATCTTACAAAGCAACAAGAAAATTTGGAGTAGTTCGCAGTAAGAGTAAAATAACCTGATTCGGCGAGATTTGACAGTAACATTTAAAGAGCGCCGTTGAAACAGTAGGGACGCTTTATAATATTTACATTTATTGTTTTATACTAACTGGAGGATAGCGCAATGGAATGATGGCGCCCACTGTGCGGACGGACCAACTAAACCCTCAACCCCTCTGAGGTCGGGAAAATGGTACCAGACGTGTCTGGGACCAGCTCGCTTCCTCCATGTAGGAGTGCCCTTGCATGAACAGCATAGAGATTCGGCTCGAGCAGCATTTAACGACATTCATAACGGAGACCAAAAATCCCCAAGCAGAAGCTGAACTCACACGCAAAAATCCGAAGACCTTTGTCGATGGCGGATTTGTGAAATCGAATCAAATAGAAGAAGTGCTGGGAATCACACAATAGAATACAATGTAGGGAGATGAAGAGGAAAACTGTTTATGTTTCCAGTATTGGAATACTTATATACCAATACTTAAATCTATTCACTCAGAGTTTACAGAACTATAGAAGCAAATAATAATAGCACTACTACTAATAATAATAATTCCAATGAAGATCTAAAAATTGTGTTACGAAATAGCAGCATAAAATACGATCGCGGTCTTTCGACGGTTCAATTCACACAGAAAATGACACTGTCAAGGGGTCTTGGAAACGTTTGACGAATTACTCGACAGGTCACAATTTGCTCTTCGTAGAATTTCACCTATAATACGAATTAACAAAAAAGAATGCGAGATGATTGGAACGTTCTAAATTTACACGAGAACGAAAAAAATTATATGTGGAAATTACAAAGCAAAACTGACAACTTTTCCAAAAGATAAAAAAAAGCGGAACCATTCATTTTTATGACAGTTCTAACTAGGAATACAACCACAAAGACGTTGAGATATTTGCAAAACTCCGGACCGCAGGTGTCTATGCTGGAGAATGAACGCGCTATTACTCTCTCCGGGGGCTAACACGTTCACCACCACACCATGCGGATCCTTCGTTTCGCCTCTCTCTCTCAGCTAGTTTTCTATTAATAACCAATAATAAATTAGAAGAGTGTCATACACAATGATAGTAATGAGATCCGTTCGGAAGCGACATTTTTCGCAGTTGTATTTTGCATCTATCACTAAGACAACGATGAAGGAGGTTTTTTTTTAGTCAACGAGAACTTCTGATGAAAGATAACCGAAAGAAATCTGTAAGTAGAGTTTCTTCTCTATTTACAATGATTTTACACTACCTATCCTACACATCTACAGTGCGAATCCCAGCACCTCTTACATTCTCGATTCTTTTCCTCACTTCCACCATCACCCACGACGGTCCTCTAACTTTTGACTATGGGTTCGGTTGCTGATTGGCGATTTTCTTTTCGTTGTTAATGTCGTTTAATGCCTGTCGATTCGATTCTCCCTGGTATTCCGAGATTGTAGAGCTAAAGCTTCTTACTTTGTTTGAGACGGCGAACTTTTCCCAGACAAATCTGGTACTCCTACTGACCCCAGAAGGATCACAAGCTTGGTGGTATCACTACCGCTGTGAAATTACGGAAAAAAGAACCGTTTCCCTCCAACTATGTCACCCACAATGAAGAAATATTGCGAAAAATTTATGCGACACTACATTAGGATGTCCAAAAAAAATAACGGATGGTCTCCATGGGCAATCCCGATGAGGATCGAAATGGCGAATTAATTGGAAGCAATGCGGGAATCTGAGCTCGTTCCGAAATTTGCCCATGTGAGGGCTGAGGATATTGCGACTCGACATCGACGCTACGTATCAAATCACAAAGCCCTAATGAGAAGTAAACAAAATCCCTGAAATATGCATGGCTATTTCCCAATTGAATTTATAGCCATCCAAATCCGCTCACGACACAACTAAGAATTTGACATTTCGATAACTACGAACTTATATATGGGCCTCGTAGACGTGAACACACGTTCGAAGCAGATTACCACCATGAACGACGAATGCTCCAAAAAAGAAAACGATTGGGAGCTGTGTTCGGCCAGCGCTACCATTGACATCGGTTCTACTTGTAAAAGACTTAGCTTCCATTATTATTATTATTATTATTTATCATAGGAAGTCTGCACTATTCAGCCACTTTCAACTACAGTAAAAACGGTGGATTACAAGAAAAACTTCCACGCAATCACTACTACCTTAAATTTGATCCTTGAAACCAAATATTTGTTAAGCAATAGGTGAATAAAAACATATTCCTGACATTTTTCAACATAAAAACAGAGTTCGATTACGATAAAAAACTAGTATTTCTTCTAACGTTGATGACGCAGACCTGTACTAAATGAAACAACGCGACTTATGGAAAGAAAACAAACCGAGGACTGAATGAAGTTACGTTGATTCAACTGTTGTTAAGTAATGCCCTGGTCTCCCTCCATCGATATTTTATTATCTTGTGTGATATCCCGAGGAACCTCGACAGGCCTTACCTCTGGCGCGACTAGGACAATTCACACCTGACCAACGCCCAATGCAGACGGATCGCTGCCGGCGACACTACCGTATCCCGTGGGCGCAATTTCACGTGGCGAGGTCGTCGTGGTTCGGACCCCATTAAACTCAGGAAAGCAACAAGTCAAGGTGCTCAGGCCCAGAGACAAAGCGACACGAATGAATGACACTCGACGTGCGTTCCATAGAAATCCAGGGCAAAACGATGAGTAGACCACAGAAGTTCAGAAATGAGCAACGAGGCGAAACGAAAAATGAGTTCCAATTGCTCGAAATGAAGATGAACCATAGATAAACGTGCACACAGTGCAAAATTCACCAGTTTCCACTTCTGACAGAATGAATGAGCTTCGCCATGAACGTAAGAACATCGAGAGGGAGAGGAAACATGACAATCTTTTGAATCTACCAACTCCCCAAAAATGAAAACAATGAATAACAAAATAGTAAGCTGAAATATGTACACATCTGTTTTTGCTCACTAAAAACACAATTAACGCTTTTTCTGGAGGATATGCCTCACAGTTTTACACTGCGTAACCGCAACATGTAGGCGAAAATATTTGAACTAAACTTTACGAACCCAGTATCATACAGTACCAGTATCCACCACCGCCGTGGTATCAAACTGGTCGCACGGTGGTAAGTTTCCCTCCGATCCACAAGGGCTGCGATTGCTTGTGATGGTGAAGACCTGGAGCAGACCTTAGCTAGGCTGACCTCGGGATTCCAGGAAACCACAATGGCTTAACAAGCAAATCTCCGAAAAAGTGGAGATTATGCTGGTGCCCGCACAACTATTGGAGACGGGCCACTCAAGTATCAAGTATCAAGTAATATCACACAAATTCCTTAGATCTTCGGAAAAATTACAAAGATAGAAAATACAAAGGTAGCAAACAGTCCATGGAAAATTCACTATCATCTCTGTCATAAAACATCGTATTCTTCCTCGAACATTTAACCTGTCACTTTTTCAATGATTTAGAAAGCGAATATTTGTTAGAAAAAACGTAAAGTACATCAGAGCCTAGAATGAGAACTTCTAATTAGAAGGAATGGTTTGCAGGAATAAAGAAAAAAACTCCTTTTAAAAATACAGTTAGCTTTTCTTTTAGGAGTAGTAACTTAATTCCAAAATATCCATCCTTGTTGGCATTGTCTAACTAGAAATTACTCCGACTTATTGGTAGTAGCGGCTTCATAAAAAGAATCGTTTCGCACAAACTTCTGTGACAAAAGCTCACTTAAGAAACAAACTGAGCAATGTATGACGGCTTGTGCCGAAACTCGAACAGAAATATCACTAACTGCTGCCGGTCGTCCCCTTATCAAACCCTGACAGTTTTTGTTCTCACAAATAACGCGTTTTTTCCATTCTACCGCTCATGAATTGTTTTTGAAGACAACTTCATCACAATGTAATAGTGTACTTACATGAAGACTGAAGGCGTACACCCACTTGCAGGACTAGCCAGTCGACATCTCAGTCAACGAATATCGACTACCAACCAGAAAAACTTTTCTTCCCGTGCTTGAAATTAATCCCAGGTTGTTAATAGTTGTGAATTCTCAAAATCAAGTTCGAATAGAAAAGTGTTTCTCTCGAAAAAAGTCTTTGAACAGCTCCGATGACGTATTTCAAGCACCTGGAAGACATATTATGCTAGTGTTCAGTATTCCCCTAAGTAAACCCTAAAACAACTACCGATTCTACTTCTACAGCTGATATCCGAACTTCTCGCTTAAAGCGTCTCGTCGCTTAAGCTGGCCTTTTGCCAGAACGAGAAGTAAAATACATAGACTCTCATCATCAGCTTTTTCCGTCTATTATCTTTCCTTCTATGATTTCATCATTTCGAGTGCATAACTGAGAGTGATAAAAATAAGGAAAAAATAGGCAAGTTTCTGTAAACACTTATTGGAGTCGCGTTTATATTGAGTTAAATGGTATCATTTGTCAAGTACGATCTATTCGGAAGTGACGATTTGAAAATAGACGTAGAGTTTTTTATTGAAAGTGGTGCTTTGATTTGCAAGAACGCATCAACCATCAATAATCCTGTTTCATATGGTGAGTATCGACACTGTGAACTGAAACTGAGGTCAATTCGGTCTGCGGCAGCACCTCGTCCCACCATCGTCGCCACACCAAAGTGATTACTGGTCACTAGAAAGTCGGTGATTTTCCGTCGATGTCACGTGCCTTATATGTACTCTTTGGACTCCGATAAGAAAATTGAAACAGTGACACCGAAAGAGAACGCGAAAAGAAATCGCTATCGGGATAGTAAGTTCTTGAGAAAATAGTTTCATTGATGTGCATGAAAATTGGGATACGTAACTCTGCACTTCATAGCATGACCGGGGTGCAACAACAAAAGAACTCTTCGTTTTTCTAAGAGCAAATGGAAATCGAATTTTTAAAATCGGTATAGCAAATGAGAACAACGATGATGACAGAACATGGCATCCTCATACGGATAGATAAGAGAAGACAATGGAAATTGCTAGTCTTGAGAGATGAACACAAGGGTTACATCCGGTGCTTCTGAAGAATACTGCGAATCTGTAACGCCAAGACTCTTATTAGCCTAATAAAGAAAATACTAAGTGTAATAGAAACTTTGGCTGTCCCCATCAACGTCACCAAGCATTTCAGGCAACCACTGCACTTTTGAATTCTTCGGAAAAGAAAGGAAAGAAAAGTGTGTAAATATGTCACATTACAGCCTACCTGGCAAAATTCACAGTACGCCTCCGGATTGAAAACTTTGCCGCCGAATGTTTGAGCCGCTTCGTTTTCCTGAAATCAATCAAAAATAGTTCGGTAGAAGAGTGTCAGTGTGATTCCAGCGAGGGCAGTGGGGCGACCGTCAGGAATCATTTAACAATTGACAATCTGTCAATTAGAAAGTGGCAATGAACAAATTTCGATTCGACAGTGACGTCAATCGGTCACAAAAAAGACTGTTATGAAAAAATCTTGGTAAAAAGTTGACCAGTACGAATGTGGAATTGAGAGAAATCAATAACAAACAATGAAAACAAACGGCAATGTAAATCGTGCTTGGAAAGGAATGAAAAAACGCTAGTCGGTTAACAGAGAGAATTTCCAGAAGTTTTTCGTTCTACTCGAGAGAAATCAGATGGAAAACATTTAGAAGTTTTATCACCAGGTACAGATGGCATCTTAAGGAGCCGAAAGTCTTTCTTAGAGTTACCTGGTGTATGAACAATTTTAAAAACGGCTAAATGTCTCTTCATAGGAAGAAATGTGATCATTTGGATCGCTACTAAAAGGAGATTTATCAAACTTTCGGTACGTTAGGTTAGTGGTTGATTCTTTCTTCATATGTAACTTTATAAGAGCCACTAGGCTTAAGCAAATTACACTCCTTCAGTTTTAACTAACCATTGAGAAGGCGTGTGTAGCGCGGTGCTTAAAAGTGCTCTGCAATACACATGCGTTCGATCCCGCGCCTTGCGCTCACCAAGTCACCCATCCCTCGGGAATTCAGCAAATTGGTAGCAGACCTCTATGGGAGGATAGCAGCACTCACTTGATACATCGGTAGGTCACCAGAAGTCAATGTATAGTCAGATTTGCATTCAATTCATTTATGACGCTTGATGAAGGTGATTAGGACATAGCACATCCCTCAGAGACTGACCAACGCCGGGAGCTTCAGCCTTTAAGTCCTAACTAATAGCTTTACAAAAAATAACTTCTCAACCCTATTAACACAACACAAGACTTTTCAAAATAAACAGATGTTTACACAAATGTAGAAATTAACGAAAAAAAAAAACAAGGTGCTAGTGAAAAACGAGCAATCTGAACTCTCGTTTGAGACAACCAAATATTATTCGACATGAAGGAGCTACCTTTGATCTTCTTCACTGAGTGAAATCGGTGGGCTCTTCTTATGTTCTCTAATAATTCAAGGTATATTAAAGATTGTTTTTTCACATACAACCAGAACAACGAATACTTCAACCAATTCTTTTTGCAGGCAGCAAGGACGCTGACTTCCACGAAAATAAAAAAAGAAGAGTTAGAAAGAGGAGCCAAAACACATCAGAAGAAAAACCGCTTGCTCGGTTAGATCGCTCGAGTGTAGATGTTTTATGTGAATAAGCTTTTGTAATCACTACTTAATAGCAAAACGACAACCTTCGTTAGATCCAAACGTAAAAAACAGCTATATCTCCTCTGTTTAAACTTATTATTTTTAACGGCAGGGTGTATTGCAAAATATAACTTCAGTGATGCTGAGATATTTGAAAAACTCCGGACAGCAGGGGTATGCGGTGGGGAACGAACGCGTTATTGTCTTTTCCGGGGAGTAACGCGTTCACCACCACACCATGCGGGTCCTTCGTTTCGCTTGTCTCTCAACTAGTTCTATCGATCTTTTGCCATCAGCAAGTATATCTCTTCTGTTTCCGCAGTTTTTACATATAATGACTATTAAAGGGGATGCAGGAAGGGTTTCGCAGTGGTTAGTGATGTTGTTGATTAGGAAGCAAAGGCACTAGTTCGATTCCCTCCCTAACGTTCTGCTCCAATCGACGTGGGAACAACGCCTGAGCTGGGGTATCTCCAGGAGTGCAAGAAGAATTGACTCGACCAGCACTCTACGACATTCATAAAGACAAGGAGCAGTTGAAACAACATGCGAATTATTCGAAAACCATTGTAAAGGAGAAATGCAACGAAAACAATCGAACGCAAGAAGTGATGGGATCCGCACAATAAATGTGATAGGGGTCGTGCGAAAAAAAGAAATCATTAAACATAAGGAGCAACAAAAAATTTGGACGTGTGGACATTTAATATAATGTTGAGGATGAATGTTGAGGCTTCTATAAACATAAGTGGCGAGCTTGTAGCACAGTGTTATCGATGAGCTAAATATGCATTCAGTCACCTACATGATGCGTAATGAAGTTAACCTCCTTACATCCCCTAAAGATTGATCAGCGGCGAACGCTTTATCCTCTTATCACTATTATTATAATTAATTAATCATTATCAATACCAGGGCAATTCTTTACAGCATGGCTGCTTTCCATAATGATTCCAATATGGACAGAAACTTTAAGTTGGACTCACAAATGAAGCGATAGTCTTAATCAATCTGCTAAACAATCCCAAAGTGGCAAACGATACGAAGAAAATTCCCGGCAGAAAGCGACATTTATCGTGAAGGCGCTTAAGCACTAATCCGTCTCAGCAGACAATTATGGAAAACTAAGCAAAGCGATCAGTGGAACAGTTGAAATAATTGCGAAGTGACAATAAACGGAGTGATCGCTGTAACTGTGAAGAGCAGTGGAGACTGGCGAAATGCTAACGTCTGATGAGAACCTCAGACCGGATGAGTGTCCATGACATTTCGTCGGTAAAAGTTCATCAACACATAACTGCAAACTAAACTAGACAGGAAAGTCAAGAACAGGGTGCTTTTAAAACCAGTTGTTAACTATGCGAACGTTAAGAATGATAATCAAGAAAATTTCTGGCACATTCGTGGTGATGCCGATTTTGTGATAAGTGCTGATGAATGCTCGATAAGGAAAGCACCCAACAACTTGAAGACTGACAAATCTATAAAGGAAGGTCAAACCTAGACTTGCTCTACGTCTGTACAAAAGTGCTCCAAAGTATTCTTTTTGTTTTGGATCGCATGAAATACAAACCTCAAGAAAGACTACTATCGCGTGAAAAAGTCATAACTTCCAACAGTAGCCATGGCCACTGAACAGCCATTCAGAAACCCGTTCCTCTGGACGAGATCGCGTTCGTTCAGTCGCTTCGCTGGTTGAAATACCGGCCTCAACGGAAAGGAGGATGGAAAAAATCAGAAAAGAGGTAAGGACGAAAACAGGACCTATAGGCTCAAAAATCAGAACATTATCGTGGTAGAATACCAGCCAAATATGCATTGAAATCGATGCATATCTTTGCAAATAAGTTAAAAAATGATTCGTAGCGCAAAATGTGAAGCACATTTATATCATAAAGAGCCGCTCTTGTTTCGAAGTAGAACAAACGACTATAGTAACGTGGTAAGTACGAAGACGATGATTTGAATAAAAAACCTTAGTTAATGTTGAAAAATTATTGTAGCAACTGATTAAAAATATAAGCAGGGATATAAAAATAGCCCTAAATGTAGTGGTCATTTAAGGATATATGAGAGATCTGAAAATTGTCCCCACTGGGTCGATTTTAGAGCACACGAACCTCTATAGGTATAATACTAAGGAACAGAACAAAATTCCCTGTCAAAAAAGTTGCAGAAACACTTGCAACGATGAAATGCCCATCGAACTTAGCCTTAAGGTGAAATGGAAAAGTACAATGAAGAAAAAGATAATGAAAGAGCACTCTAGTCAAGAATGCTTACAACTGGGGAACAGATGACAAGCTTGGAATCAACGTCATACAGAGAGATATTTCAGAAAACAATACTTCACGGCCTACGTCAAACCAACATAAGGAAGTCGATACCAACAAAAATGTTGAGCCAGGTCAGGCAAATCGATATCTGTAGCTGAGCTACCGGATCGATGATGAAATTCTCGACAGGTATCGATCGAATTCTTCAAATAAGACCTTTATCGCAAAAGACCTATGAGTGAATCAAAAGCGAGAACACACGAAAGGCCAAGGAATCTTCAGTGCTTAGACATAAATATGTTAGACATAGCAGTTTCGGAATCAGCACGAAAAACGGAAGAGATCAAATTGAGAGGTGAATCAGAATTGAAGCGATAAACAGAAAAAGACGATTAAAGATGAGCCAGTGTTTGCAGTTGTAGAACAAAACAAATGCACCTTTTCCATCATGACAAAAAGTGTATTCCTTGGTGTCGCTGTAGATTACTGCATTGCTGAAGGATTGCAGGAACTATGGGAAAAGTTCGAGAAGAGCGAAGGCGAACGAGAAATAAGTGAAGTCCACATCCGTTCGCTCGAAGCTAAACACAAAGAGAGACTGCAGACGTGTCGCGAATCCCGGTTTACTACTCTTGTGAGCTTAATTCTGTTCGGAACGTCGTCCACAAACGGATGATTCCCGTTCGTCTGTGCGCTGCATACCCCAGAAGTAATTAAGTAAATCGCGCGATAAACGGATAACTCTATAGCCACGCTTTCACGATCATCACCATCTCCATAATCTCCACCATCACCACGATCACCACCATTATCGCCATCTCCACCATCTCCAGGAACACCACGACCATCACAATCTCAGCCATCACCGATCATCACCATCTCCACACACCTCCACCAACTCCACGACCATCATCATCTCCACGATCACCCACGATCATCACCATCACCGCCACCACGACCACCATCACCACATACATCTTACATCAACTGGTTTCGTTTCACAAAGTGGCGCCCATTTTCGCGTTGTTCAAAAAGAGACCAGTTCAGTAATTTGCGGCGGCGAGGCGTCAGTACCACCATAGCCTTCACATGGATGTTATAAAAATCTTGTCAACCGAATAACACGTGAAAACGTCGTGAAAAAACTATCTAAAATATCGTACTGTTCGTATATTTTCATGAAATGCCACCGTATGACAGCAATCATTAATAAAGGTAAAAAGATAACCAAAAACTGTTAAGTTCAGAGAACGAAGATGTTGCTGACAAGCGGTTGTTGGTAGGAGAGACTTAAATCGGAGCCAGTTACACCTAACAAATTTGATGACGAAAACAAATTCGATAAAGGCAGATCGAATTACAAAACGTTGTTTTGATCAGGTGTTTTAATTGTATATGCAATGTATACTCTGTGTTTACCAACTGTTCAACAACAAAAACTCAGCTCGAAACACTCGAAAATAATTTACGCACCATCACCGGACAACTTGAAATGAAATGTTGTTGGAACAAATGGTGGTGAAAGTATGGAGGGATTTTCGAAATATCACCTTCTACTCTTTCTAATGGCTACAATCAAATCATTATTACGAGCATTTGAAAATTCAGAGGGTTTCGAAAGGATATGAACAAAGCCCCAACAAGGAGCTACCTAAGCGAATTTTCGCGGAATACTGGCAAACCATTTATAACCGGAAATTTCAGCTAAGGAACACTACCGCATTGTTCTCTAACTCAGTAAGCAACTGATTTTTTTAGACTACAACGATTGCCGAAAGTTCATGTAAAAATCAAATCGCAATAAACATAAGAGTTCTTGGAAAAATCTGCTCTACGGTGGAAACTGAATACGGTGTGGACATTTCGACAATCGCACGACACTTCTCGGAAGGGTTTGCCAGCCTTCGCCTCGATCTACATTCCGTCACAGTCTACTTGAAATCCCTCGAAAAACTCATATCATTTGCAACTAGGCTGTATAACAATTAAATTGACTGGAACTATGTCACACTAGTCAGAAGTGACACGTTTTAACTTCACATGACGGACGAATCAGCGTAATTTTACAGCTAATAATAAAAACGAAGTTTCCGTGCACATTGGCGTTATCTAACAGACTAGCAAATCTTGAAGGTTCCAAGAAGTACGGTAGACCATCGATTCATTATAATCAGAAGGACGACGTTTGTAAGAAGAACAGGAGTCAGACAGTATTTTTTGTCGAATGGTAAACGGTACGATATTTGGCTGGCCCGCCAGCCTGGCCTGAGCAGGACGCACGCATTTCCGCGTTTTCCGTGCGTCGATTAGCACTCTTGGCAACCGGATGGTCGAAAACGACATTACTATTAGTAGAACTCACAAAAAAGCTATATTCTAACTACAGCGGGCATAATCATCACCACCGCCACAGCCCACCGAAGAAGATTCTTCTAAGTGTAGGGAATTCGTAGTGTTCGACGGAAACGGACAGAAATGCAAGAACATTACATGCAAGCAAGCACAGGCCAAGTTCAAATTTCAGACGAGCAGCTCATTCAACTAGTAAGTCTGCCGATGACCCTACCTTTCTCTCAAATATTATAATCTCTTTCATGTATGCCATTGAAATTCCACCAAAAACAAGTTCCTAGTTTCATTCGAAATTGCTTTTTTTGCCAATTGCACCTCATCATCCAAAGTTTTTTTTTTAGACACAGTTCGATCAGCAACAATATCCTAAGCTAACTCTATGGTTTTTCAGGTTCTGCCTCGTAAAACCAAATCCCAAAAGCATTTTTCAGCATTAGTAACACATTCGGACCCAATTGTCGTTACAGTCAGTGGCTGTGCTCTATTTTAAATGGAATTCAAAGCATAAAAAACGACGATGAAGAGTGTTTCGGGAATCGGAGCGGTCGGTCGCGCGCATTGGGTGTTGGCCGTGCCTGTATTTACGGTCGTAGTAAACAGTGTGCTCAGTTGTTCGTTCGTGTTCACGAGTGTATGTGAATTAGTAGAAAACTGGTATAGATGGAACTCGAATTCGTGTGGTCGGTGTGTGTCGCCTTCGCGCTAAATCCACTACTGATCAACGTGGTGATCGTTCGGTCTATGTGTGTGAAATGATGGCTTGCTGATGAATCCCACCACAGTTCATCAAATGGAGTTAAGTTCCATGTCCGATTCACTTCTTCGATGCTAAATTCTCGAACTTTCTCTCTCGATTTCTCTCATTCTCCGTTTCCGACTGAACGAAAGCTAGGTTAGCGAAAGTCATAGGTCTTGACTTCCCTACATCTTGAATATGTCTCATGAAAAAAGCAAACGGCTTTTCGAAGAAATGTTATCTCAATTAGAATTCATCGAATGCTGAGATAATCCTAGTGGCATTTTATACCAAATGAAATGAGACGTCACAACATAAGAGCTATAGAAATATTATCAGGGAAAACTCTTCGTTTCCACTCTAACAACAACTACGAATGCTACAGCATCAGTGAATCGCATGCGAGGAATCATGGTAAAGCTTGTTGCAAACAATACATTTTATAAGTAGGACTAGAGATAGTAGACGTGAGTGGGAGAACAGTGGATTACCAGAAATAACTAATTTTTAGGTTAATTAATAGGTAAACAAGGATCACCAATTAATGTAGATTTTCTTAAACCTCGAAAATCATGAGTACCACGTCCCTTTTCGTTGAAGCAGCACAATCGTGCCGCACTTGCTTGCACCGGCACTCGTAGATGTAAGGTTAGTTGAGCAAAAAATCGAAGATAATGCTTAAAATGGGAATCCAGTGTAAGTAAGCTCAGTCTTCATAGAAAGGACAGATGAATTTTATAATGGATAAATAAAGGATAAGGCCCTCGGCGTTGATCAATCAATTAAGGATGCAGTGCGCATTCTATTTCATTAAGCGTCGTTTGGAGGCGATTGAATGCATATCTGATCTCTACAATTACTCGTGTTAGGACACTGATGTATCGAGTCAGTGCTGCTATCCTCCCAGGCAAATCTAGTACCAATTTGCCGTTACCGGAGGAATGGAAAGCTTACTGGGCCACGGGCGCGGGAATCGACCCCATATGTATTGCAGGGCGCTTTCGACTACTGTGACACACGCACCCCTGAATTTTATATCTTTGAAAAATGTTGTTTGAACTAAAATGGACACTAGACTGTAGACTGGACTAGACTAATGGACTGGACAGTAGTTCGACCCGCAACTGCAAAACCTTTGCTAACACCTCATATATTAGGAACGCACTTTATTTAGACAAATTTGGAACGATAATTCTATAGTAAACCGAACAGCAGATAAGCTATCACTCCGTTGAACTATTCTAAAGAGTAATACCTGCAAATTGCAATAGTTATTAGCTCACGCGGGTTATACTATGACCACACATCATTCGATAACATAGCAGAAAAAGAACTGGTGGCGAAGTTCACCATAAACTCTCAAAATGAACAAATGTAAAGAATTCGAAGCTGTGAAGAGCGAAGGGGCTACTATAGAGGTGTGATGGGATAGAGGAACTGAGTAATAGACGGTACCAGATCTCATTCGCTTCTTACACTTCAGCCGCTTTGCCAGTGCTGCTCTAGTTATAATGCTTGTTTATCCAGCTGTTTACGTCATAGTGCAGATAGCAATCAATCGTATCATTAAAAATTCTAACTGAACTTGTTGAACGGAAGTCTTTAGTATTAAAAAAAAACACTGGAATGTAACTATCCGAAAGTATGAAAAGTTTCTGTCTATGAATAGGACCAGAGGTGTTTATTCTAATCTTTGAACGACATTCAAACGCTAATATTCAGTTACTAAGGTTTCCCAACGATTCGCTGAAGAATTCATGGTTAGATTTATTTATAAACTGCAAAAATGCTCGAGAATGTGTGAGATAATCTCAAAACGATTCCATGAAATCGGATTCAGACATTAGCATAAGGTTCAGAGGGAAAAATCTCGTTGAGGAAATAATTATCCCGAAAAAAAAGGGAAAAAAGCGCAACATTTTCTATTTGGCTACAGTATTTACCAATGAAAAAGAAAAACTCGAAATGGCAACACTTCTATATCGAATAGAAACAAATGAATGGGTGTAGGATATGTGTGTAGGTATGTGTGTTCACACACACCAAACATGTACGTACAGACATAAACACATAGATACACATATGGAGACATATACAAGCACACACAGATATACACCTATACAGGCATGTGGACATGCACGCATACACAAACACACACATACACGCACCGTTTATAATACAGTAATTGACCATTGAGTAGAGTCATGAAAGCCCTATCACATAGTAGCGTCATCATATTAAATTAAATGAAGAGCAAAGGACCCACTGGCGAATATGAAGGATGCAAAACTGTCATGAACGAGAAAAACCGACGAGCCACATTGAAACAATCTCAGCAACACCATTAACACTTGAAACGAACTCATTGAGAATTGGTTGTCGGAACGAGCACACTTGAGTGGATGCCAAAAAACCACACAAACAGTTCACGAAATCGATGCTCTACGATGAAAACTGAAGCATCAAGATATGAATGTGCGCTTAGTACAGACAGCGAAATGGGTGCTAAATCATTCCAGAACATTCCGAAACAAAATGCTGCTGCTGCATAATTAAGCGTAATTACCGCGAATAAAGTTAGGAACGAAAATCATTTGTGCCAAGTCGTTACGAAAATCTGAACCGAAAAAGGCATTTCAAAGGCGCTAAACGGCTGTAAACCGTAGCTTGGCATGCGGATTAGAACGTAGTGACAATCACCCAACAAACGGAAAGGAGGATGTAGTTGGAATGAAACTTGAGACGACCTTACACAAAACTAGTGGAATTAAGATAAGATGGAAAAACATGTAAAGAACAAGGCGGTAGAAGAAAATGAAGAAGCATAAGAAAAGCAATATTTCTAATATGAAAAACCAGTACCGATTTCTTCTGGGATAAACTCAGTGTTCGACCATGTTAGGAAAAGCACTCTGCAATTTCTCTGAGATTTAAAAGACTTTTTTTTAAAAATCTGTTCTTCCTTCCATCTCTTTTTTTAATCAACCCTGCATTGGTCGTTTTTCCTAGGAAAGAGGCTTCGCCTGTGTACCTCGAAGACTGCATTTCATTCTGAATTCCCAAAATAGCTCCATTTCTTTTACACGTTCCTACATTACATGGCCATGGGAATGACTTCGTCAAATGAAAACAATCAAAGTGTTCTAAACTCAAGCGCGGTTTTCGTTCCGAAATCAAAACGAAAATGCCCGAGTAACTGACAAGAACTGAGTGGAGCTGAAATGAGATTGGGGAATATTGCTGTTACAGTGAGGCAGCACACAAACTGAGGTGATGCGGTGATGGTAACGGAGCCGAGAGGACGTCGTCGAAAACCCGAACAAAAGATACAAAAATCAAACAAACTTCCGTTGCGTTACACGCAGTGGAAGTGATCGTCGCCGTCGCCGTTTTCCAGACGGGAGCGACTTCCGGATCGTCCGCTGGTTGGCGACGACGGAGACGACACCCACTCGAGTCGAGTGCTACTCGACGGCTGTTGGCACGCATTGAAGCGGGCGATGCGAGCGACGAGCTGAGAACGACGACGGAAAGAAGGACGACTAGAAGCGCCAAAGGTGACTGACACGAGTGATCTTCGATGTGACTGCGGAATGTTTGAAGAAACGAAAGAGATAGCGGCGCAAGTTCCCATGAATGAACCGGCGACCGGCCGAATAACAGGTATCAAACAGGCAACTAGGGTAGCGTTGGTAATGCATCGAACTGCACCATAAGAGTTTCTCGTTTTGTTTCATTGTTTGCATTAGCACGAACTCACTTATTTCAGTGTTTATTCCATGTATGAATAATTAATTACCAAGCAATGTTGATGGTCAGAGAGACCTCGAAATAACAAACGTTCAATATGAATCGTGTGATGAATTTCAGCGATCAATTCCACCTTATGTTTTTGAAAAAAACTGCGCAGAACTTGCAGAGTTCTGTCATTTTTACTCCGCATGGCTATGAGAACCAAAAACATATTAACATAGTGCGTTTTACATTAAAACTAAGAGGTGTATGAAATAGGACACAGCAAGACTTCCAGGTGCGACGGCCAGCTAGCACGTTGACGACTGGTAGTAGACACGCTTCCCTTGCCCTTGAGACCATGTGTCGAGCACAGTGAACACGTACTTCGTGTGAAACTGTGTTGAGTCTTATCACTTCTACTCTATTTTTCCTTGATTTTTCGTCCTCGTGATCTTTACATGAATTCAGCTAGTGTGACTCTGTTGCTCGACGCATTATAAGTTCTAATAGTCACATTTCTAATGGAACCTTTGAAAACAATCAATGTGGAATTGTTTACGGAAACTCGTACACCTTCTATAGAACATTGTCGCTTGATTTTTAACCACCACGAAGTACGCCAAAGGAGAGAAGAAAACGGCTAGGACACGGCTCCGCATTTCTCAAGGAATTGGAAATATTTTTTAAAAAAAGTGGAAAAGTGTGTTGATCGAACAAAAAAGACAACCAGAATACGCTATTGCTCGCCGATGTGATAAACATAATCGAAAGATGGAGAATGATGGAAATGAGAACGCTATCATCGGATTTGAAAACCACATCAAATAATTAGTAGTAGGTACGACGACGATAGTCCTGGGCAGGACCCGGTTTCGAATTAGTTTTTAGAACACCGTTCTTCCCTTCATTATCTCCGACGAAGGTCTTGAGCAGTACTAGTTTCAAGTCAACTATTACGCGTCGGTTCCATTCTCGTGCAGTACAGTGAACAACGATATCCAAAGGGAAAAAATCGCTAGCCCTGAAATGTCCTGCACTATGTAATGGAACAGCAACTACTTTAAACCAATATGTTTAGAAATGTGCATAAAACTGATCAGATATTAAGTCATGCGTGTCAACACAATAGAACACTTTAACAATTGCTCTCATAACAAACTTAAAGTTATTGAAGCATGTGGCATTACTGGACGTAATCGATAACCGTTGATTCTAATCAGTTTCTTTTACGAATCTTTAAAAAACAAACAACAAAAAATTAGGGAAAAAACGTAAGAATCACTCACTTAATAGCTACGTGTCAGTTCAGTGCTTGACTATAAAGCAGAGTAATATCACAAAGGAGCTAGCCAGCACTAAAAATCCGATGCGTACAAACAACTGCAAACATTCGGAAGATTAGAAAATATTAGAGAAACCCTCTCTAAATAAAAGACGACCAGGAAACATGAAAGCCAAACAACTACGAAGACATGAGAACTTGCAGAAAAAATTTCAGATAAGATTTTGAACAGCAGAACGAATTGCTGTTGGAGTGCTTGTTGAGCTAAAAATCTTATCATATTAACAGATGTCTCGTAGATTAGCACCATGACGACTCCGCCTTCTGGATTTTGCCTTAAAATGCCGAACTAGTTACCAACAGTTGGAGCTGGCATTGTCGTTTGCATGTGGAAATGAACGCGCTATCCGGAGTTATTTCAGCGCATAATCAACGTATATCGAGTTTAAATCGTATCGAAAGATCTCCACATTGTCGTGGTCGTTCTTACGTTTTCTCCACTTTTCTTTTCGATTGGGTTTTAGTCCCCTGCTTACATTCCCACTAAACTGCAAAAATCCTCAGATTTCGGCTTTTACTTTGGAGTCGGCCCAACATATCAACCATAGAGCAACACGAACGTTGTATGGACGGCACGCAGCACAGCGGAAGATACCTCTGTCCTCGTATGCTCGCACTAGATGGATGTTAAGTTTGATCTCAGCTCGCTTTTTTTCTCCACGAAGTGAATGAGCTAGCAGTACATCATCACATAACCCAATTGTCGATAAAGTTCTAGTGGAAGCTTTTGCAAATATTAATCTATTTCCAACATTTTCTAGAGATCTCTAGAATAAGTTCTTCGTTTAGATTAGTCTTTCGAGACGTCATGTAGACGATAGAGTGCGTCTTCAGAGTTGAAAAATGAAGAACGATGGAGCGAACGAAGAAAACCTGCCTAAAAACCGGTAACGATACGGCTAAAATGTGGGCGGTCCGGTCATAGGAAAACAGAGCACATCACGGATGGATACGAGAGAATACCATATTTCGAACGACGTTCATACTAGTTTCCTGATTCAGTGGTTGAACGCTTAACAGAACGCATAACTGCGAATTCGATAACACAGGTGTATTCATTTATATGACGTGGTGACTTTGCCATCTTACGTGTTAGTTTTTTCTTTCAGTTTCCTCATTAGCAAGGAAGAAACCATAAAAAAGAATTATTTGCAAAAAAAATTGCGGACTAGACGTTCCTCCAAACTCTAGATACGCAGCGTTTCAAAACCGACTTCTCCTTAATCTCGGTATATTGTAGGTTTCTAAATATTGTTAGGCTCTATGCTAGCTGATGAGACCGACTGCTGTAGGAAGTATTACCCGGGAAGAACAACTTGTTGTCACTGGACAACCACTACCAGCGGCAACCGTCCTAAGAGAGCACTGCTTGATGAAGTTGCTTCGTTAGAGAGTTGGTCTACTGAAGAAGTTCCGACTCGATAAGACGACGAGGATCCCACATTGAGTGTACGAATGACGGTGGACATCGACTCGGATTATCGTCTCTGAGGAAGATGAAGACGTCGGAACGCTAACCGAATAAAGCTGTTCATCAACCTCGTGTAAGATTTTCAATGAAAGAATGCATATAAATATGCAGCTTTACCAACAGAAATGATGTCATGAGAAACACTGGCTTAAAGAATACCATCATTTATCATTCTTATCAACAGGTAACAACAGAAATTATGAATCCTGATAAAAATTCGTCTTAAAATTGACCGCAGCTTAAGTTATACACAACAGAATTGTTTCCCAGCACGACAACCCTGGTAAGCAACAACGAGGGCATATTTTTACAGAAATCCCCTATAATCGATCATATATTCACCTGAGTCATAAGGCAATACAATAGGAATATACAAGGGTATTTGTGCGGGTTGTAGAAAGCCGCATTTTCTAGGAATAATATAGGCGTTCAACGATTAACAGAAGCAATGAACACTGGCCTGTAAGACAAGCAGATAAGGAAGCATCAGTGAAGACATGGTCACTACGTTTCCATTTTGACGCCATCAACATTGTTTTCGATGAACCGGAGAACGAAAATGAAAACAAAAATCGGCATGGGAGAGTCGCATGAGTTTTCATGAAGCGAAGTGGAAACTTGATCGGAGTGAACCGTGGCGAAGCCGAGTGCGTCGCGCTGCTGTCGTTCTCGTTGCGCAGATCGGCAACGAGCGATTTACGAATATCCGGTAGGTGGTGAGACTCATTTCCGTAGTGGGTCGAAATTGTCTGCTATTAGGATATGCGGAAGGCATAACATCAACAAAACATCAGGGATAATCTGTTTCAAAGACCATCGTTTTACAGCCTGTTAGTTACCTGGGAAATACGAAAGCCACTAGCACGTCCATCGACGTGACATTCCGTTTCCAGGCACTGTGAAAAGTCACAAGGTTGCAAGAGTTAAAAAGCAATTTCTTCTGCCTTGTTCAGTAAGGGGAAACTGCAGTATGATAGTGCAAGAGCCACTATCGAGAACAATGTAGAATTCCAGATTCTCAGCTAACAAAGCTAAATATCTGAGGATGTTTAGACAAACGTTCACTAAGATCAACACTACTTCCTAGTCCTGAAATCCTAAGGCATCGACTAATTCGTTAATTAGCTTCACCTAAGCAGCAACTTCCGTCGTAAAGTACAGTCATCGTAGTTTACTACTCAGAGCCCAGCCACCACCACATTCTTTGATGTCGACCGCCAATTCACCTGTTCACTCGGCTTCTACGACGGTACTGAGAAGCGATCGTCAAAAAAGCGTTCTTTTAGCGATGTCGGCAGGGCTTTTTAAGCGGGAGTGAAAAAGTGAGATAAAAACGAAAAAGAGCAAGGCGTCCGTCGACGCCTGCACGTTTTCCACCAACACTGATGATGGAAGAGTTTTCGTTTCACTTAGAAAAAATAGGGATGAAAAACACTGATAACACGAACAAGGGCAACAACATAAAATTAGCCGCTATTTTCACGTCTCATACGAAAAAGTGAAACGATTGACGAAAAATTGCCAAGTATTACAACGAACGAATGAATACAACACACACACACACACACACGACGGATAACAAGCGGACAACTGGCATGAGGCGATCGACTGAAAATCGAACGAAAAACGCTTGATTTTAAACCGACCAGCCCTTTTTTCCTCCGTAGAGAAAATTTTTGACTCTGGTGTATCGACGTTCTCGAAGAACACCATCTCTGTTTGGTATGGCATTGTTTTTAGTTTAGGAATCGAACTAATAATGTCATCCTCTCGTATTCATCCTCTAACCGAGAATTTTCTAAAAATTTCTGCAAGTCGCTGAAAAACGGTCGGCAAGAGGATCTCAAGGCGCTCTTCGTTAGAATTTCATGGAACTACAAAACCAATGAACAATTTATTAAAATTTCGAAACCGACTTTCCTTGAACCTCGGTATCACTAA